AGTATATCTTTCTGCTCTTGCTCCTTTTTGTCATGAAATACATTTCCACATAACCTATTAATTCTGATTAAATATATTAAAATATATTTTTAAAAATATATTTTAAAATATATTTCCCATTATTTTTATAAATCTTAAAATATATTTCCCATTATTTTTATAAATCTATTGACCTATTCAGATGGTCCCTTATTATTATTATAATTCATTTTATTTTATTCTCTCTTCTTCCCCACCCCCACCTTCCCTCATCTCTCTTCCCTTATTTTCCATTTTTCCACCATATGTTTTCCAACTCTTATTAGACCTCTCCTATGCCACTACACAGAGCCAACAACTACCCCTGCATGACACAGCAGGTCACACACCACTAATAGCTGCATCATGATGCCAAAGAAATAGCAGTCAACCACAGTACAGCCTCCCAAATCAAGAAAAACAAACACAAACAACTGAAATCTCCCAAACTCAATCGGGTACTCTGAAGAGGAGACCCCAGTACTACCAGAAACAGGATTCAGAATTATGGCATTTACGTCCCTTCAAGAGATATGGGGAACACTCATGAGAGCAATGGAAGAAATTGAAAAACTAAAATCATTAAACCAAAAGGAATCGCAGATGAACACTGAGATAACAGAATTAGGAAACACAGTAAATGACCTCAGGAGTAGAACGGAAGGAAAGGAAAGTCTAATCAGTGAGCTCAAGGACTATCACTCTGACTATAATCAAAGAGAGAAACGATTGATTAAAACAAGTGAAGGAATCTTAAGAAAGCCTGAGGATGATGTGGAATACTAACCAACACTGACAAGAAGGAAGTGCACAGAGTAATACATGACAAGGGCAATGTCATAGAATGTAGTACAAGAAATCATGGAAGAACATTTCTCCAACATCATAAAAGAGGAGAAAATAACTTAAAGAAGCTGAGAGAACCTTAAAAAGGACAGACCCCAAAAGAAAAACATCATGACAAATCATAGGAAAACCCTCAAATATCAAGGAAAATGAGAATCTTGAGGCCAGCTAGGGAAAAAGACTATCACCTACAAAGGAAAACCAAGAAGGATAAGCTCGACTTCTCAGCAGAAACCATGCGGACAAGAAAACAATGGAGTGACATATAAGATTTAGAAACACAGACAACTAAGTAATAGGAAGTTCAGGAGAACACAGGGAACAACATATTAGTCATAAATCACTTTAAATCGCCCGCAATTGGTGCACACACCACTTTTTTTGTAAGTAAATGTGTAATTCAAATATTTATATTAACCATTAAGAGATAAAAATGAAATAAGCGTCCAGCTCCAGAAGTTAAAGTAACAGCAAAACCTAGCTTTGAGAAATAAGGTTAACAAATGTGCTTTACATAATTGATGCATGTATGGATTTTGATAAGAGTTGTATGAGCCCCTAATAAAACGATTTTTTAAAAAGTAAGAAAAAAAAAGAAATAAGGTTAAAAAAAAGAAAAGAAATTGGGCTTAGGGGCTTAAGTGGAGAGCAAATGTTTTGAGAATGATGAGGGCAACAAATGTACAAATGTGCTTTACACAATTGATGAATGTATGGATTTTGATAAGAGTTGTATGAGCCCCTAATAAAATGATTTTTTAAAAGAGTTGTACAAGCCCCCAATAAAATGATTTTTTTAAGTTAGCATTTGTATAAATACAATCAAAATAAAATACTAAAGACTATCCACAGACTTAGATAACTCAGAGCTCATGTTTGAACATTGAAGACTTTAAAGAGTGAAATATGGACATATATTCAGAAAGCGGGACCATCCTTTGCATTATGACAAAGTGATCTATAGTTCAGTAACATCAGTTTATTAAACCTAGTTCCTTATAAATGATTGGGTGGCACTCTCACAAAAGACATAGGTTAGCCTTTTCTTTAAAATTCTAATTCCCTTTACTCCTCCAATCATTTTTAAAGTACCTGAAAGAATTGGGAATAAGCCAAAACTGGTGTAAGAAATAAGCTCCTCTATCCAAGGTATAAAATCAATTATAAATTTACCCGAGACTCTCATAGTAAGATTTGTATATATTTTCTCTGGGTTCTTATGAGAAATCTAATGACAGAGAAAAAAAATGAGGCTATTACTGACAATTTGCCTTCTTGGAATTTAATTTCCTACTGGTGGACTTGATTTAACATCCTACCTGAACAGGTAATTCTGGCTTCTTCATAGTGATCACAGGAGAGTCCACCCCATTGCCAATTCTTGCAGTCCCAAACAGATGTTTCATTTCCATTACAACTGCTTAGAAACAGCCACATGTTTGTGGCCTTGACTTTGGAATAAGCTTGGTAGGAAGTTTTAAGTGCAGAGCCACATTTCAGCTGTTGACAAATCACATTGGCTTCCTTCATTCCACTGCTTCTGTTGCACACCTTCCCGACCAAGTTCTGAATTTTCACCTCCACCGTTCCAGCACAGCGACTGCCCCCACCTACAAGTTTCAGCTCCAGATCTGATCCATCTGCAAAAAAGCCATAAACATAGGTCATAGGCACTTAATGGAGATTGACTCTCAAAGGAGATTTTTAAATCTTGCAGATAGTAGACACAAAGAAGTAGAGACCACGAATTTGGTTAGAAAGAGGATTGCCGTTGCAAAGGTTAATTAAATTGTTAATAATTAAAAACATGGAAAAGTCACATACAAAAGAGTAGCCTATAAATGTTTGCCTCGCTAAGTTCCAGGTAGATGTAGAATTCTGAATTTGATTCCCTAACAGTAGTCTAAACCATTATGACACAAAACTGAGTCAGACAACTTTCCAAACAGGTCAAAGAAACAACATTTTAAGGATTAAAAAAAAAGAAGTCCAACCTATGTCCTTCGAGTTTATTCAATCCTATAGAGCAGAGCTGCTCCAAAGGATTCTCTTGACTGTAATCTCGATGCAAGCAGATTGCTAAGGTTTTCTTCTGGAGCATGACTGGGTATATTTGAACCGCCAACCTTGAGGCTAGCAATAATCACAAACCACTTTAGTATTTTTAGCTCTCACATCTCACACCTATTCCTAGTCATCAAAAACACTAGCCCTTCCCTTTCTGGTTTTCCTTTCATTTTGTTTGAACTTACCGGAACATGTCACACCAGCATCTTCATTATGATTGCAATAATGCTTCCCCCATTCTCGGTGTCTACACTGCCAGAGAGTAGATTCATGCCCTTGGCAAGAAACGCTATCAAGCCAAATGGGTCCAGCTCCCTCACTGGCATTAACACGGCCAATCCCAGTCCTGACATGTGGGCATCCCAGTTGTCTACAAGCCACAGCAGCATCATTACTGTCCCAGCTGTCATCACACACCGTGCCCCATTCTCCTTGGAATTTCACTTCCAATCGTCCTGAACATTTCGTGGTGCCTTCTACCACTCTCAGGCTTAGATCTGCTCCTTCTGTAACAGGGACAACAACACAAGTCAGTGATGAGGAACCAGGGAGCAGGGGACTATAAGACGCTGTATCTGAGAAGGAGAAGGAAGAGAGAGAAAATATTGACATATCAATGCTAAAAATATATCTAAAAACAGATGGGAGGAGAGTGAGCCAGCCCAAAAGATTTCATTTTAGCGTATATTTACATTTAGTGTACATCTTACATTTCAGTGTAAGAGTACACATCCACCACAGTAAAAATTCCAGGGGCTCAGAAGAGATCTAATGCGCTGGTTTTTTTCCTGATTAAAAAAAAAAATTGCTGTGGAGTAGATGCTGACTCATGGGGAGCTCATGCGTTTCAGAGGAGAACTCTGCCCTGTAAGGTTTCCACGGCTGTGATGTTACAGAAGCAGATTAACTGGCCTTTCTTCTGAGATGCCCACGGGTGGATTCCACTACCAGCCTTTCCTTTAGAAGTCAGACCCTACTAATAGTCACCTAGAAACAGGCTTATTTGGAGACTACTAGGTTTTGGGTGTAATTGTTTATGTTTTCTTGTTAAAAATATATTCGAATGTCTTTAGGAGGTCCCCATATGCTCCAGTTTTCTCATACCTCACCATTCTTTTTTTTTTTTTTTTGTCTTTGACTACATTCCTTATTTATCCTACCTGGTCTTTATTCACACCTGGCCCCTTGGTGACCACTTCCTTAATTTATAAACGGAACCAAGAGGAATGAGAAGTTGTCGTTACTACTCTCACCTTCTCCTTCTCCTCACAAAGCAAACCTCGATTGAGTAATGTCCTGGGATAAGTAAAAGACATTTGCCTCTGGTGGTTTCCATTCTGGCTGCCACAATACTTTTTTGTTGGGATGCCCTCAGCATGGGTAAAATACACCGAGAAGTAATGTGCCGATTGGGACTTAGTATTTCAGGGGAATAGGAAAAGAGAGATACATGCTGTCTTTTTTTTTTCCTACCCCAAGTCCCTTTCACTCTCTTCTGCTAACAAACCTGTCTCTCATGTAGGAATCCCATTCCTTGTGTTGGAAGTCATAAATGCTCATGTGACTCCACGTGAAAAACAAAAACTCTAAGAAATGAATAGCTTTATTTAGGCATGTGGATGCAGCGGTGCCTGAAGCTATATGGACCTCTGGACTTCCCAGTTTTGTGAACCAAAATTCTCCTTTTTTCAAATTACTCTTAGTTGTGCTTCCTTCCTTTGTGTATGTGGGCATAAAGATACCTGGTGAAAAAAGGGGAATTGTTAACTCCAACCATATTTTCCTGAACGTTCCCTGAGGTGCAAGATCTACTAGTTGCACTTAGAAGTAAGATCTTTAGGGGAAATGGGAGTGGTACCCTGCACAAAAGACCTAAAGGGCCCTCCCTCTGGAGCTAAGGGTGGTGCATGAGTTTCTGTACAGACATAGCCATACCACAAACCTCAATAGAAATGAGGTCTTTCCTACCCACTCTCCCTCTACCCTCCCTGTTTCGCCACTCATACCACTGGTCCTGTAGGGCTCATCTGCCCTGGATTCCCTGTATTTTCAGTATGTGACCTCCTCCCTGGGGGACGGACAACCGAGGAGTGGGTGAAGGGAGACGTCGGACAGGGCAAGATATGACAAAATAACAATTTATAAACTATCAAGGGCTCATGAGGGAGTGGGGAGGGGGGAGTGGGGAGGGAGGAGAAAAATGAGGACCTAATGCCTGGGATTTAAGTGGAGAGAAAATGTTTTGAGAATGATGAGGGCAATGAATGTACAAATGCGCTTTACACAATTGATGTGTGTATGGATTGTGATAAGAGCTGTATCAGCTCCTAATAAAATGATTTTTAAAAAACAAAAACAAAAAAAAGGAAATGAGGTCTTAATATAAAACTGAAATGTATCTCTCTTTTCTTTTTAGTATGATTCAGTATATTTGAATTGTACCCTGGGAAGGATTAGGTAAACGTAGTAACTAAAAGATTGGGAAAGATTTGGTTAACATAACTAAAAGACTTTTGTCTGTTACAGGAATATAAAGGGGAGGATGGAATGTTTTAAATGCTTCCATAAGCAAAACTTCCTTCTTATGCTTTTTTTCTTTTTCTTTTACACTAGCTTCTTCCCTAACGCCTTAGCCTAAAAGCAGCACTGGTGCATAGTTGGAATGCTAACTGAAAGGACAACAGTTCAAATTTGCCAATCTTTCCAAGGGAGGAAGATGAGGATTTGTACTCCTGTGAACAGTTACGGTCTTGAAAGGCCACCGGGGCAGTCTAGTCTGTCCTGTAAGGTCACTATGAGTCAGCCCTGACTCGATGACAGTGAGTTTGTTTTTCTCCTTAACCTGGATCTCAGTTGTCACCGTTCACCCACTCTATCCTAACCGATGTGCTCTAGTTTCATCTAAGGTCATAACTCCCCAGTTAACAAAACCATAACCTGACACGAGGTGATGATGAGTTCACAAGGGAAGCAGATTTCAGTATATTCTTGAGTTTGAACTTTCATGCCTATTAACAGCTTCCCCATACACTCCCCCCCCCCCACACACACACACCCTCTCCCTGCCCCCCTCCTCTCTCATGGAGAACAAACTTGGACCAAACCTTACCTAAGCAAATCACTGCAACGTCCTCAGCATGATCGCAGTTGTGCTTTCCCCATCCTTGGTGCTTGCAGTTCCAGAGAGCTGACTCATTTCCATGGCACAGGAGGTCATCAAGCCAGATTGGTCCAGAGCCTTCTCCAAAACTCGCTGAGCCAGAGAAACTGACAGCACTTCCACATTCAAGTTGTTTACAGACCACAGACGCATGATCTATGTTGAAGTTATCATCACACACTGTCCCCCACTTTTCTTGGAATTTGACTTCTAATCTTCCTAAGCACCGATTTCCTCCGTTCGTCAGCCTCATCTCCACATCAGATCCATCTAGAGCAGAGAGAAGACCAGAGTTCAGAAGTGACATTCATTCAGATGTAATTTTAGAAAATAAGATTCCTACGAAGACTTGAGACTTGACATTGTCCTTAAAATGATTCACTGATTTTGGGTGCTGCCCAGTCCCTTATATTGCAGGATTTAAATCTGTTAGAAGTAAATGAACAACTATGGCTCCCATCTACATCCATTTAACAGAGGAAATACTTCTTATTAAAGTTTACTTTCTGCATTGTTTTCCTTCCATTACTGGCACAGAACGGAACACTCTTAAATAGAAATAGATCACTGGATGAAAAAAAAATTTTTTTAAATACTGAGATTAGCTCAATCAGTGAAGCAGTAAAAATGAACATTTAAAACAGTCACTATTACCAACAGCATGGAGCAGCAATGAAAAATTGCCTGAAGTTGGATTCGAAATTAGAAAATAATAAGAAAAAAGGATAAGATTACGTATGCACAAGCATATGTAATATTTTGTAAAAGAACTGTTGGTATACCAAATTCTTAAACATTGAGAGGAAATTATGCTTTCTATTTGATGTAATTGAAATTTGAAAATATATGACATGTATTAAATCCCACTTAATAAAAAAAAGAA